ACCGCTCCGCCCCCGCAGCACCTGGGCCTCTGCGCCGGGACGGGAGCCTGGTCGGCTACTAAACCAGGGAACCTGGTACCAGCCCCAGCCTCCCCGCGTCAGAGCCGCCTGCACCCACAACAACAGGGACCGAGCTGCTGAAAAGCCTGCCCGCTTGCCCTACACAGGGATCAAAGCAATATACCCACCTTCAGACAGCATCAGCTCATACACTTTCACACGTTTATGTAATAGAAAAAAAAAAATATTTCTTTTTTGGTTTCGCTAGCCCTGTGAGCACACCAGCAGCAACACCTACTTAAAAGTCTTATGTTTCAAGGTCTAAGCTGACCGTGTGGAAGATGTGCACACCAGACTGCTGCCCTCACACATGGAGACCTGCGTGGGGCCATGGTGCACTTCATGGCACACCATTTCTTTTGCCTGACTATTGGCTTTGCTTTCTCCAGAAACATCAGTCTGGAGCCTTTATAAAGGATAACTGGCTTCAGGAGGACAGCTGTATCCAAGGTGGTATCAGAGAGTGATACAAGCCATGGCACAGCAGCATTTGCTGGTTTTAATACATGGGAGACCTTTGAGATCACCTGTGTCACCCATCTGCATTTTAATCCATGGTTTGGCTTTTTAGGGGTAACTAAAACCTTGTACTTGCTACCTTGGCTTCTAAGGACAAAGGAAAGGAGCTAGCACAGCTTTCCCTAAGCCATGCCAAATCTGCTGGAACTAAACTTGCCTGAGGAGCTCTGCCTGGCGCCTTGGGATGTAGGGACTTAAGTTTCTCAGAAAGTTGCATCTGCCAAATCTCACTGACTTTTGCCCTGATTTTTATATACTTTGTACTGTAATAAAGTTGTAGAACTGAAAGACCAAAAAAGCACTCCAGTGTATGGAAGAAAAATGAACCTGGAGAGATTAAAAGAGGGGGCAGGAGAAAGGGTTATCACAAAGAGGAAAGCTGACAGCTCCCTTATTTGTCCGGGCCATACACAGCCTGTAGGACAGAAATGGGCTGCAGACACTTAGACTAGTTCATGCTGAAAGAAAAGGCAGGAGTTTGAGAGGGAAGGAGGAGTAAAACCTCATCAGCCTGCTGTTTTCACTGGAGTGAGTTTTGACTGTATTATCTATCCTTGTTTCTAGATCTGGCAAGATGAAGACAAGAGGCAACCCAGCCACAGGAAGGAGACTTCTTCCATTTAACTGGAGAGTGAAACAGAGGATTGACAGGTAAGATTTCAGAGAGAGATACAACTTCAAAATCCTTGCTAAAAACTTCTTAAAATCAATTTGCTTGTAAGACAAAACAAGCATGGGGGTGCCCTTGGCGTGCCCTGGTCCAAGGCTGTGGAAGGCTGCATGTTAACATAGGACTCTTCTTTTGTAGAGAGCCAGCTCTCTGCAAACACACAATCCAGGTAGACATTACACCTTAGAGCACTGCACACAGAACAAAGCGATTCATTTTTGCTACCTACGTGCTCCAAGGACTAGACTGCAGGCTATAATCTAGTGTTAAAATCCTTGGTATCATCAATTTTCTCAGCAAGAAACAAAACAGGCCAAATCCTGTAAACAATGCAGAGTTTGTTCAAATATTGTAGAGTTTTAAGTGTGAGCTGGATGAGATTGAGCTCAGGTCTGTGCGGAAAGGCTCCTAAAGGCTGCTTCCATGTGTGCTGAGCACTGGTTTGTATGCGCTGGTGCGTGCACAGGGCTAAGCGCCGTTCTGAACAGGAGCAGATTTTAATGCCATTCAGTGAATTTGGGTCTGTGTGCCTTACTTTTTCTGAAAGTACAACACAGGCAGAGGGAAAACAATAAGCACCCCTGAATCAAATCACAGCTACTTTCCTGTAAATCTCCAAAGTAAATATGCTAAAAAGTAAGCATCAGCTGTGACTCTCCTACGTACAGGGAGACACACACACAATATTAAATAGAGGATTTGTGCTAGGATTTAATATACTCTGTCTTCCAGTATTCTGAGCACATATGATTTTGTTGGAAGATTTTTCAAATAGAAACATGATACTTTCATTTATTGTGTTTAATTTAAATTTTGCAGAATACTAACAAATACGTTATTAATTATGAAGACTCAATGTTCAACACATACAAGCATCACAGAATTTTCTCTAAGGTAAGCTCATTTACCTCACTAGAGCCTCTGTTGCAAGGAGTTGAAAAAGCAGTATTGGTCTTAAGAAAACTCTATACCTGTATGTAATTACAAATGGGTGTTAAATTAAGAGCTACTGCATTTTTTTGGCTACCGCTACCTAGTCAATGTTGACATTCTTTGTTTTATATACACAGTTCTCAACACAAAACATTTAATTAAAATACTTTCCAAAGATCTTAAGAATTCATAAATGCTGCAGTTGTGCTACCAGAGATATTCAGTAGGGCACAGGGAGACAAAAGTGATCTATCTCAGCCAACAGCAGGCAGCCTCTGTCACTCTTTGAGATTCTCTGGAGATGATTCTGGTCTTCCAAGCACTGCCCCTCCAAACCCATCTCCCTTAAATCTGCATCTACTCCACTTTACTTCCAACTTCTGAGTTAGTACTGACTAGCCAAAAAGCCCTGGAAAGGGCAGTGCCTTTTCAGTGCCTGTATACTGACCAGAGTCCACCAGAGCCAATGATAATTAGCTGCTGATTTCATCAGCCTTTGGTCTCAGAAATGCATAATTTTCCAGAAAGTGTTTGAAAACACTTTCTATTAATTATATAGTAAAATTATGTAATTTAGTAAAATTATGTAATTTAGTAAAATTATTTATACTGTAGTCTCTTTGACAGAATTTTTTTTTCACAAGAACTTGCAAAGAGACTCTGATTCTCTCTGAATTTTGACTGAATTCAGAACACATTCAAATAATAACAACAACTAGCATTCAGCTTTCACTACAAGGACATGTTTTCTGCCAGTGCACTACCTGGATAAAACAGCACCGAGCGCTCAGCCACGTGGGCATCCAGTGCTCTGACGGGCTGCTTGCAGTGCTGAGCCCATCAGTGGCTTACAGGGACCCTTTCTTCTTTCAGTTACTCTAATTTCTGGCATGCACCTACCTGTATCACACAGACAGCATGGCTGAGACACGAACAGGCTTCCCTACCCACTTACCTTGGCTAAACTGCAGCTGCTCCCTTCTCCACTCAGAACAGTGATGAATTCAGCACTGCTTCACTGCTAGCAAACAAATCTGCCTCCTACCCACCTCCAGCCTTCTATTTTTGGGGCAGCCCGTTCTAAACCTTGCCAAAAGTGAAATTGCTAAGGACTGTGCAGAATTAACCACAGGCACTGAACTGTTAAAGTTCAACCAAATAAAACGCCTGGGAGGACTGAACAAAAAAATCACCAAAAATAGCTGGGTTTAGAATGGTTTCAGACAAAAGTGTCTACTGGTGCACGGTGCGTCAGGGAGCGCTGCCCCAAGGAGGCAGGGCACTGTCAAATGCAGGTTGGTAGAACGACTCCAGCCACCTTTAAGTGTTCTGGTAACTGCAGGTCTCCCGAAAATATTTGTCAGCTGGCAGCCTGGGAGATGGAGGGTGCCTCAGCTTGCTGTGTAGTGACAACACAGGTAAGCAAGGGCTCTAGGTTCTTGCCCTCCCTTGCTATTACGCCTCCCTACCCAACCTGTCTGGCCAGCCTGTCCCATGGGCCAGCTCTTCTGGGGGTATCTGCCCACAGGGAAGTGCATCAAGGCCACTGAGGCATTTCCCACAGCCTAGTTAACATCTGCTGCCACAGCCCATCTGCAGGGGACAGTAACTTTGGAAATATTCCCCTATAGGTTGATTTCACTTTCTGTAATACAAGTATTTGCAGCATATTTTAAAGGCACACATGCAAAACCCAAGAGCTCTGTTTTGCCCGTTTTAATTAAGGCACAAGTTAACAGCATCAGCAGCAACGTTCCTCCTCCGCAGCCCAAGGACAGCGACAACACCAAAGCTTTGGCTGCAGTGGTGGTGATCTCTTCTGAACTGGCATTTACTGCCCATAAGGCTGCTGCCTAAACACAATCCACGTATTTATTTCCACCACCATCCACCTATCTGTCCAGTTATCTTCTTTTGTTTCATATGTTTAATTTTAAACCTAATGTCAAAACTCCGAGTATAAAATGAAATACATTTTGTTTAAAATACTCTGGGCAATTTTTATAGAACATCCTTTTGAAAAAAAAAAAAGTGCAGAGATCAATTTTTTTAAGTCCATCCCGCAGGCACCATCATTTAATTATGAGTGAGACATAAATTATGCATTTACACATTGTTGCATTTTCTATAAAATGGTGTGGAGATATTTTTTGTAGTTTTTGGAACTCTCTCTTTCTTCCTGGGGGCACTTTGGAGGAAAAAAAAAAAACTGCTGCAGGCTATACATTGATGAAAAAATTAGCATTTATCAGTATAACACCATTATGAGACCAGCATGGCACTAACATACACAAAATCTAAATCTATTTTTCTGCTTAGACTTAGGAAAACCTGAAAGACTGTGATCTCACCAGGCAGAAAATGTCTCCTTGCAGTATAAGCACCGAAAGTAATTGGGCAGAAGCAAATAATTTGCATATAATTGAAGAAGAAATAATAAAAAACCACCCCAGCAAACAGATGAGCCAGCACGGAAAGGCCATTACCTGCACCGAGTTCAGCCGGCAGTAGCCGTTCAAGGGAAACCTGATGACGTGGGTGGGGTCCTGGTTCCAGCCCGCGTTCACCGAGTTGCACATGACGTCCCCGGTCTCCGGGAAGATCTCTTCTATCAACGCCTTCTCCCCGCTCAGTGCAATTCTTTCCCCCAGATCTGGAGTCACTCTTACGACCAAGCAGTCACAAGGCTGGAAATGTTTCCTTTGTTCTTTCTCTTGTTTCCATCGCTCAAGTTCCTTAATCATTGGCTGCAGCTGGTAATACTTTGCTTCTTCATATAAAAGATTAAAGTCCTGGGGAAAAAAAAAAAATGAATGAGAGGGAGAGAGAGAAACTAGGAATGCTTACAGATCTCTTCTAAAAATGAGTGTTGTTCCTGTTTGACCTACTTAGGCTTATGTATTGTCAGCAAGAGTGCAAAGGCAACAGGTATCCACATACTTTGCCTTCGTCTTACACCTACGCCGAAAACCACAGTTAGTGTTGAATCTATCTGAGCTGACCATGAAGTTCTCATTGCACTGACATATTCTTTCATTTCTTATGCCACCAACTCAATGCCAGAAGGCTTTACTTTTGAATTAAGAAATCAAAATAACTGGTTGCAATAAGCAAAGCCTGCTGATGTAAGAGAAGGTGTCGAGCCCTAATCTTCACTCTTGGCCTCAGATACTCACTTCTGATCTTAAAACAGAAGATCCCGGGGTTCACTGTCACCTCTTGCACACACGTTAAGAGACGGAGATGTCAATTCAGCTTCACTTCTCACCTGTCTTTCCTGAGTCTGGAATTCATCTACAGCAGCTCAGATGCTCCCTGCACTTCATGATTATTCATGTATTTAAAGCATACTTTGCAGCCTCAAACTATACAGGTAGGGGCCGTTCCACTGGCTGGGAGCTCACCTGTGCACTCCAACAATTTGAAAGAAACAGTTCTTCCTAGCCTTTTGTACATCACCTCACCTGGGCTTTGGGCAATTTAAATTCCCAGTTTGATCCAGTTCCCAGTTCAGTGACTGAGATGTCTTTGTACAATCTCACTGATAACTTTTCATCAGCTTTCTGGCAGATCTTCCCACCTTGGCTGACAATGCATATGTTGAGGCAAAGGGTTTCATCAGCCCCCTAAACCCAAGGAGGCAGCAGTGCTCACCAGACCAAGCTAGAGAAGGAAAAGAAGGGGAAGGAAGCACTTGGTGGGCAGTTTGCTTACACTGGCCCTACCATTCCTTCAGCCTCCTGAAGGGAAGTGGAGCAACAAGAGCACAGCACCAGCTCATCTCTGCAAAGACCTGCTCTTTGCTTTCCTGGCTCTTCAGCCTGTTTACAGATGGAAATGCTGCACCACAGGTACACTACGTGACTTTTGTGGAGCAGGCTGTAGGTCAACACCTGGACACAGAGGTCAGTTCCCCACCATTGCAATGAAATGAAATGAAAAGTCACAAAAGTGAAATGACTGCAAAGAAGGACATGACAAGAAATAATTAAGAAATGAGCACCAAAATTACATGAAAAATAACAGCAGCACTGCTGCTCTAAGACTCGAGGAAGAGGGGCAATCAATGGCCAAGGAAGGTGCAGCACAAAAAGATGTGACTCTTTGTAGTAGTTTGGAATTAACCTGTGAAATCTGCTGCTGCAGGCTATTACTGAACCAAAGCAGTTAGCTCTGTTCACATTTGGCACCACAGACCCACCCTTTGCTAGTAGGTGCTCTGTCCCCCCAGGGCTGCCTACAGCCTGGAGACACATGAATATTCAGTGACACCGGCAAGGTCATCATGTTACAAAAGGGACATCCGATCCTTTACGGCTCTTTGATGTCTGTTCAGGCTGGGACAATACACATACCACTAAGGGAGAAAAAAAACATCAGAGAAGGTGCAGAGGGGGAATGAGTGATAAGAGCAAGTGGGAAAGAAATGCTTGCAACAAACACACTCACGGGAAATAGCTGGAAGATGAAAAACAACAGGAAGATTCAAGAAGAAATAATTCAGAAAGCATGCTGCAAACAACCCGAGTTGGGAGCAGGCCAGGCAAAGAGGTGTGGAGACTGGCTGCAGTTATGTGGTCTCAGATAAGACAGCACCAGCCCCAAGGCCTCATCCCCTGATGGAAGGTATTTTCCTCACTCCCCCAAATCAGCACTCTCTGTTGAACCATTACTACTTTGTTCAGTGGTGAAGCTCCCTGGTTACTGAGCATGGGATCAGTTTAAGCATACTGTACAGGGATCAGTGGCCTAAATCAAAAAAACAACCCCTGCCCCAAACGTTCTGTAAACCTTTTTCATCTGGGACACTGGAAAACCACAGTCCACCACCTAACTGTATTCACTTACAGAGGTGCGTGCAGTGGCCTATCAAACAGTCACTGGGCATCTGCTGGTCCCATGTATCTCTTTTTTGAGCAAAGGAAAACATGCAATGCTAAGGAAAAGTGTAATGTTGGGAGAGTGAACAGGAGCATCCAGTGCTTACTGAAGGCAATGGAAAGTCTCCTGCTGTTTCCAGTAGGTCCCGATAAACTATTTTAGAGTATCTGTGTTCATGGTCACTATAAAATAACATATTATTTGTAAGGTCAATCAAGTGAATATGTACTAAGAAAACTCAACAGTAAAATCTAGAAGAGGTGGTACAGTGATATAAAATCTAGCCCTTCATTTCTGAAAGCAGACAGAGGTATGGTGCTCCTGAGGCTGGATGCAAAGCCCATAACATTCATGAAAGTCTTTTTGACTGACTTCACTGGGCTTTGTGCTAGGCTGACAGTATCCTGAATCCCAGGAGTTCAGTGCTCCTGCACCCCTGGCCAGAACAGTAATGCCATAAAGCACACAAATCAGGACCACAGCACCTCTGCCTCCCCCACAGTCAGCTATTAGCCCCCTCCATCAAATGCAGCTCCTCAGTGACTCCTGTTAGGCATCATTTGTTCTAAAATATACACAATAAATTTTATATTCTGTTATAGTTTTGTGATAGGACAATCAGTTTTCAAATGAAACAGCTCTCCCACTGCTGTTCCTAGAACAATACAGCCACACTTCAGGTAGCTGTGTGGCAACTGGAAATTGGGGCTGCACTGGAGCATCACAAGCTCTGTGGGATGAGGTTTGTACCTGGTCATAACTGCCTGGGTTAAGCCAAGGTGTTCAGGTGAGTTTCTATAAGACGACTCTCAACTCCATGTCCATTCTTGGGTTGAGTACAAACATGCTAGAAAGGGTTCTGCACCTGGCAGAAGGGGGTTGTAACTGAAGCTGGGGATCTTGAGCCTTGCTGGTGCAAAGAGGCCATGTGCATGTGTGACATTCGGGAGTCTGGGCACCTATTACTGGGCAGTGGCAATAAAATGAATTTATTGCACTGTAAGAAGTAGAGGGGGTAAAAATGTGACTTCTGCTAGGCAAGAGAAACTTCACTGCTGTCCCTTAGTGACAGCACTGGGAAGATCTACCTCCCATGACTCCTCCACTCCATGTTCTGCACGCTGCCCCAGACCAGCCACCGCCTTCCAGCTTCTTAACCACAGTGCACCCTGTAGCAGCACAGAGTCAAGCACTGTGTGTGGTAGCTAGAGGAGCTGCTTGTGTTTAGCCAAGGAAAACTGCTTTACTCCAAAGGTGATTCCCACCAGCCAAGGTCTCTGCTCATAATCAGGGTGCTCCACACTAGACTAAAAGGGGAGATGGTCAGCCTAGCCTCTGATTTTGCTGTGAAGTACCACAAAAATCCTTCGTGAACTATTACAAGCCTTCAACTTCTTGTGGCAGCTGTGGAACTAGTGGGAAAGTTCTTTCGGGTCACTTGGAAAAGAGAGCAGATAGCCAGGTGGGATGCACACAGCCTTTCTCCATCCACAACTTCTGGACATCACCTAGAACTCCTGGGAAAGGTAAACAGATCTTTCAAAGACACAGCTTTTTGCGTTTCACTAAATAATTTTCTGCTCATGATTCAGTAGAAAAGCTTTTCTTCTCGTGGATTTCATGTTGGCTAAATTCTGCAGTCACCTCTGACAAGGGTGACATCTTCCTGGGGAGGAGATGGGAAGTGTGACTGCATGGCTGTTTCAACATCAGTGCCAGTGGGTCAGTAAAGATCTGCTATCTGCAGGCACAGACAGCCAAGAGAAACTGTAAAATCATGCCTCCTGTGAACCTGATGCTGTTCTCCCAGTACTATGGAGCTCCTTTATTTCTGTACCTAATACTGACTCCTGGACAGGCTGAAATGGCTCTTTCTGCCCATTTTTCACTTCTTATTCTTTGTTACATGAAACAACAAACTGTCATTCTGACTCAACGTTTCTTTTATGTTTTAGAGCTGTGAAGATCTGACTCCTGGCTACGAGAGAAAGTTGCTCACTTCTTCGATGACAACTCCGCTATTTGCTAAGGTCAGTTTGAGAGCACTTAAAATTAGATGCAAGCACACTAATTTTAAAACAATATTGACAAATTTCATGTTGGCCTTGTGGTTCCAGTGCTACAGGTGACCTCTATAATCCATATGAAGCTCAGATGTCCTGCGTATTTGTGCTCCTCCCCTCCTTAAGATAGAGTCATAATATACATGTTGCCTGTGTCTACTTTGACCATCTCTAAGCAGGGAGTCAGTCACAAATAAGGAGGTAAGATAGGTCCTTGTTTTGCATTATGTATTGGCAGTGAAGGGGACAGATGCTGCTCACATATGTCCTGGAGAAACACCTTTAATGGCAGAGGGAGATCAAGGCAGAGAATATTTGGGCTGCAGATGAGGGGCATAGGCCTGTGCCAGCCACCCCCTAATCCAGCAGGGTGGCAGACCAGGAGCTGCTGTCTCCATGCTCTGCGTTTGTTGCTCAAGGTGTCGCGGTGCCAGGCGTAGGACTCTGAAGCAGTGCAGGGAGAGGGAGCAGTAGGCAGCTCTGGGCTGCTCCCCATCACCTCGCCCAGCACGGGCTAGCTGCAAAGGTGAACTGAGCCAAACAATGCACGGTCACTTCTCAGCAGACTTCTCGTGGCCTAAAATGCCCCCAAAAACAGAAGAATTATATGAACTATTAGAGCGCTGCTTTCAGCAGGAAAAAGACCTGTCAGATACTAAACACTTTCAGGTTCTGGCTTTCTAGTAGTTGAAGTATAATTAATATTCACTGTAAACACACCAGTCAGACTCGATAATAAAGAATCACTAGCCTAGGAACACATAGCCCAGTTTCTCTGCATTTCAGTGTTAGCTTAGTCTGAAAACAACACTTAAATAGCAAACACAGCAATGCTGGTGCAGTACTAACATTCCAAAGTTTCCAAAATAACCATCTGAGCAGCAACTCGAGTTGAAAAGCAACTTGGCTAAACCTTGAGGCTAATAAACGGCTTGATTAAATTAAGGGGTAAAAACTAATAAATATTCAAAACACTTGATAATGCTTTGTTTGACATAAAGAACATTTAATGCAAGTCTCACTGGAAAACCTGTCAGGTTTTATACCTTAAATAGAGTTTTGCATTTAGAAACGCCGAGTGATTCCATTTGCTGCCTTTGATTATTGTCTTCTGTCACTTTAATCATGCTGGTAAAATTACACGATTTCTGTGAAGTCAAATCCGTTTACAATGCAGTTTTAATATAGCTTTGCAGCGCATTCTTCTATGCATTTTTATTTAGTTACTCCCTACCTAGCAATACTTTGCTTTGTTCTTGAGCCCTCATTAGCCTGGGGTTTGCTCTAAAGCTCTCCCAGGGAGGAACTAAATAAAGTACAGTTAACCCTATGCAAAGGGATGGTCTGGAACAACGGATTGAGCCTGGGCACAGCGCCGGCTCTCCCAAGTCTCTCCCAGCCCTGCCAGCGGCTCGCTGCGCAGACAAGTCCTTGGCATCCACCGGCACTCTCACCTCCAGGCTCTCACCGAAGCCTGCTGGTTTTGTTTCACAGCACCTCTGAAATCTGGATGCCAGTTGAGGCCATGATCAGCTTGAACACATCTCTTCTACCCTCTCTTCTCATGCCTTCATGTCCCAGTAGATTGTCCAAAATGCTGCCGCTAAAGCACCTCTCTGGCAATTCACCTGCACCACTGCTCTATCCACTCCACTTCACTTGATCCATCTTAAAATCCACAAGACTTGTCTAGTCTTTAGCTTCACTCCTGTCTGTGTGTCTTCTCTCATTTCTCTGTAAAGAGCTTTCTTTGCATCCACCCCTCAGTGCTTTGGCTCTTACCCCGCCTCACAGCACCCCAACCCACAGGCCAGCCTACCCGACCTGCACACGACTGCCCAGAAAGGCCACTGCTCAGGACAGCCCTTCCGGCCGGATCTCCAAAGCCTCCATGACTGCCAAAACTTCTCCCTGACTTGGGACTACGTGTCTGCCCCCAACGCACAGCATGTCTGCTCAACATTAACTGTAAACGCTCCCACGCTGGAGTCAAATATGATTAGACTCGTAACTTGGGCAAGAATGGCTGAGGAGTGGTTTGCAGCATGAAGATCAGCTGTACTCCAAAGCTAATGCCACCACAGTGACCACAAATCTGGACTGACTCAGTCGTGAGTGGCCCCAAATTATCTTGCCTACCTAGTCCAACATGCCAAGTGAAATCTCACCACACGGAGCGGGACCCTTCCTCTCCAGCGACGCCCCACACCCTCTAACTCATCAGATCCCCACTGCCATCCCAGTTTATTCAGCATTTCATCCTGGAGTTAGTGCTTTTGTTGAATCTTGTCATCTACAGTTTGGACACTTTTGTCTTCTAATTTTCATGCATAAGGATGACAATGTTGCAAGTTTCATAACTTTATTTGGAAAAGACAAATAAGGCTAGGAGGAGAGTGTTTAACAATCAGGACTTGCAAAGCAACAACGAGTGCCGTTATTTCATTGAAACCATGTATTGCTCCTTATAAAGCCCACAGTCAATTCCATCTCCCAAGAATATTTCGACTATATTCATAAACTGTGTAAAAGGTAACTTCCTGAAATCAAAGTAACTGCATCAGTTATATTTAATACAAATCCTCATGGACTTGTTTAAGGGTGTTTCTTTTTTATACTAACAAGGAAAAGATTTATACAATTTAAGTCTTCTAAATACCCATTTTAAAGTATTTCTTTCAGATTCTGAGCATTAAACCTGGGAAGTGCTAGCTGCTGATGTTGCTTCTTAATTGTTGTTATACCTTGATAAAGAAGTTAAAAATGTGAGAAAATAGAATCAGTTTAGAAAAACTGATTTAGCCATAAGCATCATTGTTTAACTTTTTATGGTATCCATGACAACCTTTGGTCCATTTATTAAATAACAGCATCCCTGGTGTAATACATAAGTACTAAAAATCCTAACAATAAACAGCAACATTTAGTTAAGTGTGTTTAGGGCAAGCACACAAACCAACCTGCACCAAAACAAATGACAGAATGGGGGGAAAGAATAGATTGCAGACTATAGCTTTCCTTACCTTAAAGTCATCTGGGAGCAGTAGCTTAGATGTCCTTAGGAAGCTTAATATATATCTGAAAATTTCACCATCTCGATCAATGAAATAATGTTGTTTTAAACTGTCCAAGACAATAGGCTCTGTGCCATTAAAGAGACGACTTATTCTGGAAAAAAAAAAGTAAAGAAAAAGAAATGATCAGAAGAGACAAAATCTCATTACACCCTCAGGGCTTAAGAGCACCCAGCCAATTTAGCTGCATCACTTGAAGGTGCGTAAGGTAAGGCAGCGTCGTGCCCAGGTGTGGAAGGGGCGCACGAAGGCCGAGGCCCTCGGCGGGCGTCTGCCGGGCCCAGGCGCGCAGCCGGCACCAACAGCTCGGGACCCCAGCAAGGAAGGGCCTATGAAACGCTCACCCCGCGGCGAGCAGAGCAAGTCTGCTGAGGACGTGCATCGCTGGCTCTGTTGCTCATCCCTGTCTGTCATGTCCTGCTAATGGAGAACCGAACGGGTACTTGGAGATGGGTTCCTGGCCACCAGCTTTTCCTTCCGCTCGGCCTTCATTTTGATCAAGTGCCATCAAAGCCTTTTTGTGCTAGAGGAGAGGCTGCCCGTACGCTGAGGGCACTGTACGGACTGAGGTGGCCTGTACGGACCTGTCAGTGCCGGGCAAATGGCCACTCAATGATGGATGTTTTGCCAAACCAGCAACCAACGGCCCATGCAGCGTCTGCAGCGCTGCCTGTGGGACCACAGTCCCACCACCAGTACTCCTGGGGATCAGAGTATGGCAGAAAAAAGCAACGTGGCAAATCTTTTGTGAGCAAAGAAAAGGAAGTCAGACCTATGAGACCAGAGGATCAGCTAATTACAGGACCAAAACACTGCATCAGCTACATCATTCCAGCTTTTTCCACATCCTGAGCAGCATGCTCTGTGGAAAGCAAACGGGGCATCTGCCTGGCTGCTGCTCCTCTCATCTCTCCCCTCCAAACGCCTGGCTTCTCTAAGAATGCTTTGTCTTCCCATGAGAAATAACCCAGCTGAATATATGTTCTTGAAAGGAAAATCACAGGAGACAGACAGCAACGACCTATTAAGTAATTGAGTCCATCTCCCTGACAGTGCAGCATTGTTCCAAGCTGCAGTGTCTCCTGTTTCAAAGTCGAGTCTTAACCCTGCCAGTGAGGACTTCTCCATTTCCCAGGGAGACCATCCTGCAGCCTGCTGGATTTTACTGAGCCATCCCTTCGACTCAGCCACGCAATCCCGCCGCGTCCCTCGCGGAGACCAGGGCAGGGCTTTCCCCTGACGTGGTCGGGAAGCCCACCAAGCCCTGCCAAAGGCAACGGCCAGCACTGCTGGTGAACGCCTCAGCCACAGCCTCGCTGCCTCCCTCCTTCCAGCCTCACCAGCCCAGCCCAAGGTGTCTGGCCGGGCAGCGAGGGCAGCGGATGGGAGCGGCTGCAGCCTGGCTGGGGAAGGTGCCCACCCTGGAGGTCTGCTCTGCCACCACCACCCGCAGGGCCAGCGGCTCTGGGGTACGACTTCATGCAACATGGTGAGATTTGCTCTCCACAGCTGCACCTCGGTCTGGTCTTGTAACTGGCTAATTTAATTAACAGCCGTTTATTTCTGAATTAACTGTGGAAGTGCCTCTGCCTGTGCAGCCTGGCTGGGGAAGGTGCCCACCCTGGAGGTCTGCTCTGCCACCACCACCCGCAGGGCCAGCGGCTCTGGGGTACGACTTCATGCAACATGGTGAGATTTGCTCTCCACAGCTGCACCTCGGTCTGGTCTTGTAACTGGCTAATTTAATTAACAGCCGTTTATTTCTGAATTAACTGTGGAAGTGCCTCTGCCTGTGGAGTGGCAGGGCCCAGGTTTGAGACCCACCTGCAGCCTCCACCCCCAGTCCCCCTGTGGTTTGACTCGATGATCCTCAAGGTCTTTTGTAACCTGAAAACGATTCTGTGATTCTCTATTAAATAAAACTGGACTTAGCAAGTCCCCACTGAATTCAGCTAGAAAACTCTCTGCCCTCTTAAGCAAGCTCCAGTTTTTACTGACTGCTCTCACGCTTATGTCAGCGTTCAGCTAGGCTGAGTTACTTGTAGGAATAACCAACCGCTCCTCTAAACCCCAATTATAATACATTTACTGTTTTTCTTCAACCTCTAGCTTTTCAACAGTATCAGAGACCACCATCCAGTTCACACCGCAACATTTAATGTTTATAGTCAGTTCAGTAAGCCTCCAGTAATTTCATTATTTTCTTTTTCATTGTTATTTTAGGGCTGTTTGCCTGAGACAGTTAAATATATTGCTTTGTACAGTATTAAATTTTGTTCCAGGAACCAGACAGTTAATTTATTTCCTTAGACATGCACGTGAGCCAGTAAGCTGTGCTGGCTTAGACTGAAAGCAGAGGAAACACTGATAGAGCAGCTTAAGGTTCAGTACAGTACCATAAATGAGTAAATTTGCGTGGCTATTTAAAGTTTTGAGATCTTACACCGAAACAAGCTGGGCTGGGCTTAAAGCTCCTTCCTCTCTCTGCCTTTCCTCTGTGAAGTCTGCAAAAGGAAGGCGACGGCTGCTCAGCTCCGCCATGCGTGTGGGGGAAGGTTTGCCAACAACGACAGGGTGCAGGGAAGACAGGATACAAAATTTTAATGGGCCGCTCTTTTAATGTAATGAAGCATTTTTTTGGTAATGAAAACAAAACATGAATTTTGAGGCCTTTGTGGAGTGCCCTGAGCTGTATTTCTTCACCAGCGAAACTACTGCTGGGGAAGGAAACTCGCAGAGTGTTGAAAGACTTAACTGCCACCCCAAAAACAGAGTGATGAATAGTTTAAGGATTTATTTGACGTTTTAGGGGGCTGCTGTGTTCCAAGAGCCAACTCCAGTGCAGCATGTTGTAACGCTGCATGTGGAAAGCGCTCCTGGTTCTCCCTTCTCACCAGCATAAACCGTACCTGTACAAGGTTCATCAGAAAATGCAACACTGAGCACCAAGTGAACTCAAATGGCAACTTCGAAAGGAAAGTTTGCCTGTGACAGGGGTACTTCTTGTGTGTGAAGCCATGGAAAAAGAGCACAGTGACCAAGGGCAGCTCCACAAGCCCCGCTGGGTCCTGATGTGCTCAGCAGATGAGTCTTGGGCAGACAGAATGGAGTGCCAAGCATGGAAGCAAAATGTGCACACGCTGTCAGAGAGCCAGAAACTCAGTGAGTGCAAGGGGATGGGAATAGGTCTACACTGTGCTAACTTGTTGATGTTCCATCAGGAATTAGGTACCAGTCCAGCTGGCAGCCTCAGGAAGCTGCTCCCTCCTGCCATGTGATGTGAGCTGGAGTCAGGGGGTGTGGCTGCAGCTCTCAGATTGGGCAGCAGTCACCCTAAAAATGGTTGGTTTTATGAGTGGATGCCCAGTACTGTACTGGTGGACAGATTGGGCAGTGGCGTTTTCAGGAAGCATCTGCTTATGGCACACAGAAATGGTACTTCCAGGGATGTTTGTGAAGAGGTGGGAGGCACAGGAAAACAGAGATGAGGCAAAAATAGCTGCCCCTGGATCCCATCGTGATGGGTGAGTCTAAGCAACGAACACTTCTTCAGCATTCCCACCTTTTGCAAGAGATGCTTTACTTTCTTATTTAAGAACACTCTTCAGATTTCTGTCCAAGATTTCATTTCCAGACAGGGAGCAGACTGAGCCAGGATCAATCCAAGTAGTTGCAAGCCTAAGGATGGCAAGCTTGTTTTTCCATTGCCTCCACCTCCTTGGCCAGGTCCCACTATGCTCACACGATCTTCCCAGTGCACAGCTCTTCCCAGCCATCTGTTCCTCCTCCTCCTCCGTTGCTCCTGCCCTCCCAGCAATGTGCTCTTCCCTGCTGCCCAGCCACCACTGCATCAGGTTCCCAGAGCCATGAGAGGGCTGGGGTCTGGCCTCCAGCTTAGCGGGGCTGCCAGCACCTCAAGCCCCAGCTGGATGCTCTTCCCTGCTTCTCCCAACACCCAGAACGCAACCTGTTGATCCTATTTCTACAATTTCTTTGTGCTTCTGTTATTTCTGCTAAAGGCTTTTACATTTTCAATAATGTTTCGCCAAAACGCCAAGGGGCAAGTTTCTAGCTTTGTACTGATTTTACTATGATATTAAGATCTCCTTTTATTAGATTAAAAACAAACAACACAGGCAGCCAACCCGCAAGGACAAGAGCGCCAGTAAATTCTTTTCTTAGTTTCTTGGGCAGGGGAGGAAGCCACGTGCTGCGTGCAAGGCCCTAGAGCGGGCTGCTGCGGCCCACTCCCCCTGCAAAGCTTATGGCCAGTTGTCCACAGCACGCTCCCTGCAGCGCCGGTCAGGATGGGAGCAGAGAGGGGCCCCGCAGCAGAGCTCACGGCACACCATCTCTTCCATTAACTCACCCAACTCCATCTCAGAAGAAGCCAAGGCTTTTTGCACCCCCAGCTCCCTCTGGAGCACCCTTGGTTTTTCCTGAGATCACCACTGAGCACACCCACAGCTCTGCACATCACTCACTGGGGGCCCAGAGGGTGTGTGTTAGTGGCACTTTGGGACAGGAAAGCTTTTGGGTTGGGGGTGGCTGCTTTCTGGCTTGGAGCCAGTTTATTCATTTCTTTGACAGCTCTCTTTTTTAACAGAAAACTGACATTCTTTCTTAATAAATTTGGTTCCAGAGGATTTACAAGAAGCACTCACTGTTGCAGGATGTGTGGGATAATGAGCAGCAGAGGCTGTGGCATGCACCAGCAGAGCCCCCTCGATCCAAGCCCCACCGCTGGGGGAGCCAATGTGATCCTGTCCCCCCTTCCTATGCACCCACCCAGGCAGCGCAGCAACACTGTGTAAGTAAAATTCTTTATCACAACATTGCAATAAAAGTATTAATTTAAGTAATTATATTATTAATATTTAACTGTTCAGTGATATTTTTGTCATTCATAATTCAGCTGTTTACATTTATGAAAAATTGATTCTGTAGACACTTTTTCT